TGTCCTCCTCTGTGGACAAGGTAAAGCTGTAGCTTTCTCTTTTTGTAAAGGCTTAGCATCAGAGTAAAGCTATAAACTTGGGCTTCCAGTTTCACTCTTGCACAATTCTGCTCATCTACTGTACTGGTGCCTATGCAGCATCTTTCCCATGAGAAAAGATACATATTAGAAGATACATAGGTTCTACAAGGTCAATGTACGGAGAAAGAGAAGGGAAATCATTAAAGTTGTTCCACAGCCCTGGACACTTCCTTTAGACTAGGATGGCCTGTATTCTTTAAACTTCAAACTATGTGTGTGAAGTGTTCTGTCCAGGCTCTCAACTATGTTTGATGATTGTGTCTGCGACAGCAAGTATCTGGAACTTATGCTACTTTTTTTTTTTCTTTTTGGTTTCCATAACTTTGACTATATGGCTTCAAAGAACATCATCTTGAAAATTTTGCTTTGTTGGGAGCCACACCAAAGAAACTTCAATAAGCCACAGTTCAGGATTTAAAGGGTGGAACCTTAAATTCTGTGTAGGAGGGAGGTGGGGAAAAAAAAAAAGGCAAAGCAAACGAGACCAATTCACTCCTTTCATTTTCTTATAACTTATCTGACATGCCTAAAATAAACCAACATCTGAACCCTGTTGGCTCTTCCTCATCAACAACAGGATGACTGATACTAGAGGAGGTTGGAAAAAAAAAAAATCATCAAAACTTTGACAACAAAAAGTGTCCCAAAATTTGTGCTCTGAAGATAGTGTAATAGCTTGCTAGTGTTTATTTTGTGTACAATAGGCAAGAACGTGCATTACTGAAACCTCTCCTTTTTTTCCCTTCTCTCTTTGGGACAAGCAGGTTTCAAGCCAGGCATGTGTTTGCCTAAGAAATTTGGCTACCAGTGGTAAGCAATATCTTGGAAATAAACAAACCACACTATTTCTTTTTCTTTCTCTCCGCCTTTCTGAGTGAGCACAGTGGGCTGGGAACCTTTCATATTAAAAGCAAAGAGATACCCTCTTTTCTACATTTTAATTGGATATTAAGGGAAGAGGGAGGTGCAGTGCATAAACGAAATAAACCTGCCTCAGAGCTCCCAGGTAGCGAGGGGAAGTATCTGGACAAAGTGAGAGAGACAGCAGAGTTCGTATGCACAGAGCCTTTGCAACTTTTTAAGTTTTTCTCCCTTCCATGTTTCCTAAGCATTAAACCTGATTAGGACAGAATGGCTCCTGAAATTGCTGCTTGAGTGGGGACCTGCCTTCTCCCAAGGCATGAATCTGTCTATCATTAAATATAATTTTCTCCCAAGCATTTGTCATCCTCTTAAAAAAATCCTATCATATTAAATGACCAAGATCCATTTCTACGGCATACTCGGGAGTATGGCACGCTCAACGCTAGAGCCCTAGGGTCCAGGGTAGAGTTGTTCATCTAGAAAATGTAGAGGTGCTTAATTTTCAAGCAATCACAATTATAGCAGAGCTGGGAGCGAAGGAACTGCCGCGCTGCTCCTTGGCGTGGCTGAAAACCCCTGGTCTGCTTGGCCTTTTAGGACTGCTGTTCCATCTGCTGACTGCTCTGGCATTGCCTTTAGTACCCAAAAGCACTCGCTGAAGTTGCGGGGACAAATGGGATATAAGGATTCGGCCAGGATGGCTGATCTCTCCCCTGGCTAACCATAACTCTGCAAGATAGGTGGTGCTTGGAGAGATCTGTCTTTCTGTTTGTGCAGCAGAAGCTGCCACCTTCCTACCAGGCCTTATGCCAATGAAGGACTCGGAAAATTTCCCCTCATTTCTTCTCGCTGAGGTTCAGACACAAACTGAAAGGTGCCCAAACCTCTCTCGCTGCTCTCAAGCCTGTATTAATCCTTTGGCAAAAGGAGCCAGAACAAACGAGGGTTTATTTTTATAACCAAACATCCAGCATTGTCCCATCCCACAGAGATGAGGAGGTCCCCTCTAATTTCATCACTGAGGCAGAGTCAAACGTTTATGAGTCGGGGCCTGAGTGCTTCCTCGCAGTGCTGTGAAGCTCCCTGACCTTGGTCATTTTCTCAAACCAGCGGACATCCAGGCTGAGATGGTTGCTGAGGACGTCCTGCCCAAGCTGCGCTCTCTCCTGGCATCTGGCAGCGAGGATGTGCGTCGCGCCTCCATCGCTCTGCTCTGGATACTGTCCCAGCACCCGCACAACCAGGTAGGGGAGGTCATTTCCCAA